TGGCAGCATTGTAAAGAGATACCTTCGGATTTTTGATTGGGGCTTGAAATAGGGGATTATGTGTTTCCGAATCCATGACCAAGGATACCAAGTGCCTGGAGGTGTCAGCATCGATGCCATGACCCTAGAGGGTTAGATGACTTACCCTGCCTCAAGTGCCTCGAATTGCCGCTCATCGGAAGGACCCCTGCGCTGAAATTAGAATGTCTTGTTGGTGATGATTGCCTTTAAGACGCTGCAAGTACCAGTATTTGCCTTCCCGAAGGGTTTGATATCTGGACATAATCATGAGTATATAGTGGATTCGACTCGCTGTTAGGATATCACGTACCGTCGGCCATGATCCATCACTCCCTTGTAGATGGAGGAAGCGAGAGATGTGGTTTCTCTATCGTTCAATAAGGTCAGATGGTCAAGATGGGACTGGGATTACCAGGATAGTATAACCAGAGAACATACGATTGGAAGTCGCTAGGCTCATATTCATTTTCGATCTGATAAAAAAAGTCGGGATCCTAGAGCGACCGTGGAAATAAGCTAAATGGGCTCGGTCAATTCGCTCGGACTGCGCTTACGACCGCGATTTTCTCTTCGGCCTCCGACATTTTGATGGCGGGATGGCGAAAGCCAGGTAATGCGACTCTAAGTGATGAGCGTACAGGACCAATAAATCGGGAGGTTTCTCAAGTTATCGCGACCAAAACACAAAGAGGATGAGAAGATACAAAATGGCTGATGAATGCGGGGAGCGGATGCATCATTTTAAAAAGCACGGAGAACCACGGCCCAGAGAAGTGGGCAGACAAGTGGGCCCTCACGTCTTCTGGGGTTTCAATGCAGGTTCGACCCGCCACTAACCTAGAATTCTTTTCACTGGAACAGTAAACGATCCAGTAGCCGATCCCTCCTTCATCAAGCCCTAGAGGAAAAGAGCCGTGATACGCTTCAAGGCAGCCTGTCGCGCACAGAGTCACAGAGTCCTTTGCTCGCACCGGCACAAAACCAAGGCTAACTTTTCCCGACCGCGCCCCTTTCCTCTTTGGGCCTTGACTTTCTTTCGTATTTTGACGGAAATCCGAGCACGAGCAAGCGGGAAAACGGACAAGTGGATTTTTTTGATTTGCGGGTGCGCCCGCTGGATCCATTCGACAAGCGACGTGTCATGTCAGTGAAGAGCGCACTGGCAGGCGAATTGACAGAGGTCCCTGTCATGCCGGATAATATACCCACAACAATGCCATTCAGATTCCAAGGTTGTTTCTATCTTATCGAGCGCGCACTCCGGTCTTGTTCGAGTGGACTGCAAAACTTCGGACGATCTGAAAGTGCATAGTGGCGCACAAAATTTCATACTGACCGCACAAGATGCACGTACCGCCTATCCGTGGGTCTCGATGTCTCTTTCAAAGTTTGTGAAGATAACTGCGCTACATAGGCCGAGCTGCATGACCAAAGTACATATTAGTTCCACTCTGCCACGTTTTGGTTGGTCCCCCACGGCTCCGGAACGTAAAAAGTACTTTGAGGTCCTGTTGAGCTTGCGGTTTTTCGCCAAATCCTTGCACATACAGGATCTTCATACATCCACGGGAATCCACGTGTCGTGGGATTAAACTATTGATTTACAGGCGCTACTGCCTGACGGGCTGGGTTGCATCTGATCTACGGCATTTGTCGATGTTATGGGCTACCCTGTTTGATTCTCACTCCCTCCAGCTCCTGGTCGACCTGATAATGTGTGTTTTGACTGCTTGATGTACGGCAAGCCTGGGAGCTATTGGCTTTCCCGGTATTTTAGATATCCCTCAATCTTCTGATGCTTCTGGTAGAGTCACGGTCTCGTGGTCCTCAAAAGTATCTACACTCAATCTGGCACAACCAAGCTAATTCTCACCGCGGAAAGGTCGAGCGTAGTATTCAAAGAATAGTTATCTGGGTTGATCAGCAATAGAAAGTTTGCCACCATTATGATCTTATGCTTATTTGAGTGTTTGAAGATAGATTCTCGGCCAGAAAATTCTCCCCCGGAGGCAATTTCCAGGTAGCAGGACCTCACCCAAGAAACTTCCGGGATCGACTAAGATCTGCCAAAAGCTTGTCATATAACCTACACGTAGCTAAGAAAGGTCGCGTAATTAAGAGGATTCCATATTGAAAAAGAAATAGCTGGTTGGGTATCCTTGAAGCTAGTTGAATGATTTGCCTTTCTATATTCAGATAGGCAAACAGAAAGGCAAGAATCTAAATAATACTATCGTACTATCTCCGGCTACCAGCAGTTTCCAGTACCCGGGACAGAAATTACCATGCCCATAACTCACCCATGCGAGAATTAATTTAGCTTTCATCACTGTCAAACTTCTCGCCAGCAACGTGAACCGTAGCGCTTTGACGGCGGATAGCTTCCTCGAGATATTCCGGCTTGAGGTTGCCGTGCTTGTCATAGCGGTATGGCTCATGAATGGAAATGCTAACGCAGTCAAAGACGTTGGTAGACTTCTTGAAGATGGCATCCATTTCCTCCAAGGAACGATAGCGAGTCTCAGGGAAGAAGAAGTAGACACAAGGGAACATGAAAGCGTTTCTATCATAATTAGTTTACGCTCTGAGTCAGGAAATACTAGCCTGGAGGTGGGAACTTACATAACAGCGAAGATAATATAGGTCTTATATCCGATGCTGTCGAACGCAACTGGGGTAATCATGACGACCATGAAGTTGAAGATCCAATTGGCACTATTGGGGAAAATTTGTTAGACGATATTTGGTAGATATTGCCGAAGGAAGATGCAAAAAACGCTTTCATACCTAGTAGCCAACGCATTGGTCGGGGCACGAATTCGCAAGGGCACAATCTCAGCGGGATACAGCCAGGTCATTCCGAGCCAACCGATAGCGAAGAAGGTGTTGAAGACGAAGAGGAAAATTGCCTGTCCGATTCCGGCCTTCTTATCATCGAGATGTGTCAAGCGGTAGTTGCAGCCTGCAAGAACAGCCATTGAAATCGACATGCCAGCAGCCTGAGGCACAAAATTAGCTCCTGCCACGAATCAAATAAGAATACGAGGAATGATTTACTCCGATAAGCATCAGCGGACGACGTCCAGCCTTTTCAATAATGTAAATGGGAATAAAGGCAGCCATAAAATACTCGGTACCGTTACAGGCGGCCAGCAGCTTGGGAAGGCTAGTACCGCCCAGACCGATTTGGGCATAGAGATCAGGAGCCTAAAAGATGTTAATTGAGACATTCCTTACCCGCGGTTCGAGAAGCTGGCACCGGGTAGTACTGACATAGTAGGTGATGAGATTGATTCCAGAAATCTGCTGAAACATCTGGTTGACGTAGGCGAGTGCGACACGGTGGAACTCTCGGTATTCGCTCATCTTGAACAGACTTCTATAAGAGCCCTTATTCATCTCCTTAACGGTTTCTTTGATAGCAATGAGTTCATTTCTGATAAATGGGTCGTCGCGATCCTTTTCGTTAAGAGCCTCGAGGATCTCCAGCGCCTCGTCATCTCGGCCTTGCATAACAAGCCAACGTGGGGACTCCGGAAGATTCATGATGGAGATGAAGATGATGATGGCAAAGAGAATTTGGAACGCAAGTGGGAACCGCCAAGCGACTTCTTTCTCTCCAATGAACGACATGCCTATTTACTAGCTGTTAGTATTCTTGCTAGAATATAACCACTGGGGAATTCGAATTACCATAGTTGATCCAGTAGCTGAGGGTAATACCACCAGTAATAAGGGCACCTTCAATCATCACCATCTTTCCACGATCGTGGGCCTTTGATGACTCGGACTGCCATGTCGGAACCGTACTTGTGTTCATGCCGTTTCCAACACCGGTGACAATTCGACCAATGATAAATTGTGGGAGATCGTATGAGGTTGATTGTAGCAGCGCTCCAGTAGCCATCGTGACACAACCACAGAAAATAGTCTTTCGTCGACCGAGGGGGTTACCGATAAAGATAGTCAAGATAGCGCCGAAGAAACATCCTAAATTGTATGCTGCGACGGCAATTCCTTTGTTGGTACTGCGCGTAGAGATGAGGCTTGAATTGCCTTCAATAGCTGGGTCGTCGGGGTTGATATCTGGGAAGTACTTGATGAAAGACGGCAGGTCAAGAATACCGCCAGTCACACCTTGGTCATAACCGAAAAGCCTTGTTAAGAACTTGTTAGTTGCAAGGAAATAGAATTTAAACTAGATATTCCAGAAGTAACATACAGGAAATCAAGACTACCAAGAGAACTGATAGCCAAGTTCAGAGAACGGCCTCTGAAGCCGAAGAACCTCGGCCAGTTAAACATGTTGAAACACAGCACGCCAGGCGAGAGTCAAAGGAAGCATTGAGAACAAGAAAAGTGAGCCTGACAGAGACAACAGGTTATATACTGTATCCACAACTCCATTTAAGCCCCCCGGATTAACAAATTCAGTAACCCGAGGTGACCGGGGTTCTACAGGGCATGGGGGGAAGCCAAGACGCTTGGAGGCCATCGTGCGCAGCGGGGATGGGCGATTCCACGGTAATAGGATTTGGGGGCGGCTCAGCCGTCAGATTGTAACTGGTCCAAATGCCCAGACATTCACCTGCTGGTCAAAGTACGAAACACTTGGCGGTGATATGCCACTGCTTGGCAAGCGGCATGGCACAACTTGGCGGCCTTACTTGGAAGGGAATTTGCCAATGACTAGCGTTGATGGATTTCATTTTCGGCTTTAATCGGAAAATGAAATGAATTTGCTCAGGTGGGAGCCCTCGCAGTCCATACTTCGTAGAGTAATTCGAGTTGATGGAAGCTCTCTAGGGCTGTCGTTACCTGGGACTGAAGTTAGAAAACAACCAATGGAAAGTGTAGATATCGAGTGGACCCAACCAACCAAACACCCGTCCAGCTGACAATGAACTGCTCGTACAAATGGAGAGAGCTGAACATGGAAAATGTGACGCAACACCAATCAGATTGAGCCAACATTGGCCTCATCCGATCAATTCATGGCGCTGGTCGATGACATACGCCAAAGGGTGGTGTCGCGCGGGGGCCACACGATCGAGTGAGGCCAAGACGTTGCAACCGGGGGGGGTTTTCTCGGCATCAGCCACGCGAAGGGCGCCTGGTCTTGGCTCAGCCATGGCACCGGGGAAATGATCCATTCTGCCCACGGGGAAATGAATCATTCGGCCCATCATCAAGGTCTTGGTCCAATTGAAACCAAGAGAAAGATTCTTGGAAGACACAAGGCAGCTTGAATCAGGCAATGAGGTACATCGGATGAGGCGCATGTTCCTCCATGCTAATGCCAGATGGATTGCTTGATTCTCTCGACGATGATTCTGGGCGTTTGGAATTCTGCGATGGCCATGCGGGCGAGTCAGAAGCTGGCGATTGGTCTAGACGGTGGACTGCAGTAGCGACAGCTGCTAACCTAGATCTGTTCGCTGAATTCCGCCCTAGGCTCGCTAGCCTCACTGCGTACTCCCCTTTCCGGGATTCTCATTCTTTTCGGAATTTACCCGGGCATCGTAGAAGAGGAGTCATCTGAGGTCGATCGACCATTTTGAGAGAGCCCCGATGAGAGTATACCGATTGGCGCCCAGTGCCCCAATGCGCCCCAATGCGCCCCCAGGGTCGTGGCATCCCGGCAAAGGCGCTTTGTGATGCGATTGAGGTTTTCCGAAGCCGGCTAGGCGCACCGTGGGTAAAGCTAAAGAGCTTCCGTTTTCTCCCAACCCGACCGGAGAACCATCCTCCCCGGCGTGCCAGAGTCTCGAGCCCACGGGTGGTATTATACCTCCGGGTGGCGGTCCTTTGGCCAAAGCCACGCTGGCTCGGCGTCGTCACTGGCAAAATCCCTGGAACGTGCGCCCGCTCTACATGTTGCGACTAACTTGAGTCTCAAGTCTCATCGCCAATGCACACCAGGTGGCTTTCGTGTCGTTTGAGTCACACAGCGCGTCTTAGATTCCTCCGCACCGGGAGATGCGCCAGCCTAGAATAGAATCCGGCCCTCTACATCGTTGAGAGACCCCGCCGAATCAACTTCTAGGTTGAATAGAACCAGTTAGATGCAAGGATCGGCCCTGTTAATCTCCGTCGCATGTGCTCCTGCAAACCTCAACAAAGAAAAGAGACCCACGTATTGTTGGATTTGATCAAGACATATGATAGGTCGCCGGCAAATACTTTTAGACGCGGCCGATATTAGACCAGATGACTTTGATGCGCCCTTTCTCTCGGCGAAACTTCCCAAATGACATATGTGGAATTGAAGTGAAAGGTAGCTAGCTCCTCGCTTGGTGCCGGTGGTCTAGAAAAACAAGCGACTCGGTGTCTGAGCGCATACCTGCTGTGGCAGCCCGGAAAGGAAACCCGCACCTGTCAGGATTTCTCCGCGTTTTACAGAGCTGATCTAGTAGGATTTGGATATTCAAGGGGATAGGAATACTAGGCTAGCAAATTAGGGTGTTTAGGAGTGGATCTGAAACGGGGCAGCGCTGTAAAAGGATGTTGTAGATCCTCGACGGCCTGGACTTACTCCGTGGAAGAAATTCGTTGTTCCACAGTGCTTCTTCCACTGCCTATGTAATTATTGAGAGGACTGTGACGTCGGTGGAGACAGCTAAAAGAATACTTTATCCGATGGTGTAGAACGTATAAGCAGGTACTAGCAGCAGCTACATGCCATCAGAATTACCCTGAACATATGTGACTTGCATATCGCTGGGGATCGCTCCAGACCTAGTGGCGCTAAGGTCAATGGTGATCTACATTTTTCGCGACCGCTGTGAATTACCTTCAAAGGGGGCTAGCCACTCGAGGGTTTAGCATAATAATGACCACAGGCCTGAGGATGGATATACCCTTAGAAATGGGCCATCGCTGTCTAGCAAAAGATTCTAGAAACAGATTTGAAGCAGATCATTTTTAATTTTTAGTAACTCCCAGGCAGAAATTCATCTTGAGACTAGTACGATATACGAGTAGTTTTTTGACTTCGGAGATTAGACGATGACTCCGAAATTGTATGACAATGAAATAGCGGTGACTCTAGGGTATAATTTGCTTTCGGCGAGAGTTTCTAAATCAATCGGACATAGCTCGGAGCTAACTGCTAAACTTAATAAGTGGCTTACTGATAACTGCGAAATGCAGGCCACTAGAAGCGCCACTAGAAGCGCCATTGTGAACTATGATCTGACTGTTAGTGTAATCTTAAATATATAACTTCTAGGTACATGAACTACAATCCAAATAAGGTCCTGATCTGGGACTAGAACCGTTTTTCGAAGATGCTGACAACGGGCCGATCTATCCGCAGTGGCTAAAAGAAGAAAAGTCGCCGAAAAACCTCGGCTCGGGCAGGCATTGCACCGTTGGTCCCTGCAGAAAATCTCGGTTTGGCGGGTCCGTTTCCAACGGCTCAGGATCATTATAGGCGCATATACTGCTCGATCTGGAATTCTCCGACCCAGGGGACCCTTGCGGAATCTACTCGATCCTATAGAGGTTAAGCTTATCATGATAGTGTGGAATTCTCTCGAACTTTTTTTTTACTGACGGGCGAGCTCCACCTCCAATTTTTTTCCGCGACAACTCAGGCCCACTGAAGAATCCTGATCGCTGGAAACGCGGCACATCTTAACAAATATGATGAGAAATCGAGGTCTGGAAACGTGGTGCCACTGAAGATCTTGAATTATTTAAAAGCAAGGATGGAGAGAGAACTGGAGCTGTAACTTAATTCTTCTCAACAACTTGGATCAATCAATTCTATTCATATACCCCAAGACCGATAATCTTCTTTTTCTACAGTCAAAATGAGCGTCACATTCGAAGTTTTCCGCGGTTCCCAGGAGGGCCAAATTGTTGCGGACAAGACTACTCGCGAACTGCAACCCAATGAGGTCTATATCGAAACAACACACTCCGGTCTTTGCGGTACCGATGAGCACTACCTGAAGTCGGGACAAGTTCTGGGCCACGAGGGTGTTGGTGTTGTTCGCCAGCTCGGACGTGACGTCAAGAATGTCAAGGTTGGCGAGCGTGTTGGATTCGGATATACTCACTACGTCTGTGGTACCTGTGAGAAGTGCCTGACTGGTAAGTGACCAAGAGAAAACTTCAAAACCAAAGGAATCATGGCTGATAGATCTTCACAGGCTGGGACCAGTACTGCGAGAACAAGAAGGAATACGGTTCTCATAACCACGACCTCGGATCCTTCAGCCAAGGTGTCGTCTGGGACGCAGGCTGTGTTGTTCCCATTCCTGATGGATATGACTCTGCCGATGCTGCTCCCCTGATGTGCGCTGGCGCCACTGTTTGGACCTGCTTGACTGAGTACGGTGTCCGTCCTACCGACCGCGTTGCTGTGATGGGAATTGGTGGCCTGGGTCACCTGGCTATCAAGCTCGCCTCTGCCATGGGCTGCCACGTCGTGGTCTTCTCTAGCTCCGAGGCCAAGCGCGAGGAGGCTTTCAGCTTTGGTGCCTCCGAGTACCACGTCTTCCGTGCCGGCGAGGAGCTCAAGGACTGCAAGCCTGTCAACCACCTTCTCCTCTGCGGTAGCGCCAATGTGGATTACCCCTCGTAAGTCGACCATCTTGTGGCTATTGGCATATCTTGAGCTTTGCTAACATTTTAACTTCAGCCTCATTCCCCTGATGGATGTTCACGGATCTATCTACCCTCTTACCGTTGACTTCGCGCCCTCTCCCGTTCCTCTGCTCTTCATGAACATCAAGGGCATCCGTATCCAGGGATCCCTCGTCGCTTCCCGCCGTAGCCTGCGAACCTTGGTTCAATTTGCTGCGGATAAGAAGATCACCCCTACCAAGATGACCTTCCCCTTGAACAAGGAGGGCGTCGAGGAGGCCATGCAGACCCTCCGTGATGGAAAGATGAGATACCGCGGTGTTCTGGTTCGCCAGTAGGCGAATTATTCCTGCAAGGGTGTTCGAAATGAAATAGATATACGAAAATAGCATAATAGATCATTCAAACGTTGAGCGTTTGAAGTTTACCATCACTGGGAACACCCTAAGAGTCACATTGATCGGGGATCGGAACTGGGTAGCCAATTGAAATGTAGCAACATTTAAGGCTTGCAAGTATTGTCGTCCATAAAAAAAGACGCTATGTAGAAGCTATTGCAAGTACCCGACGCACCTCTTCATGTGATCACTCCGAACGAACTATGAACTGAGGAGCCGTCCTCCCCGTCACAACGCCCACCGTATTCTTAACCTCAAATGAATGGAACTTATCCAAAGCCCTGCGCATATTCGGCTCACCAACACGCAATTGCTCCAAAATCTCCGCAACAGCCGAATACAAAATCGGAATGCTACCATCCTCAATCTTAACCGCAATCCCAATACCCCCCGTGGCTCCGATCTCTCTCGTCCACGATGAATCCTTCACGCCAATCCCATAGCACCCATCAGCGCCAAGTTTACCGATCACCTCCCCTCCAAAAGCCCTCATGAGGATGGTGCAGAACCGATCGTCGCCTGCCACGTTCTGAGGATACCGCGCCATAGCACGAAACACCCGATTCATAGATCTCAACCTCGTAATTTCACCACTATAACCGTCATCACCACCTGAAACCGGGATCCGAGTCGCGGCATCAGCAAAAGCAGCATACATGCGCGCAAGATAATTCAGCGGAAACGCCGGCGCAGGAAGATTACACCCATCCAGGCCCCATTTCGAATCACCAGGATTCAAACCACAAATCTCATCCACGGTGCGCATGATGCGTTTCTGAAGCGGGTGCTCCGGTAAATGATAGCTCCGTACATCAGTATCCATCGCCTTAGCCGCAGCGATCATACCGGCATGCTTGCCAGAACAATTACTGCAGACAGGGGTCGGGGTGAAATCGGCTTTAATCCACCTCCTATGAATAGCGTCTGAGACCGGAACGTGTCCGCCGCATTGGAGATCATCTTCCGAAGCAGAGATTTGGGCGAGGATATTTCTCGCCCGCGAAATGTGGTGATCCTCGCTGCTGTGTGAGGCGCACATTAGGGCCAGGTCGGATTCGGTGAGATCATATTTCTCCAAAGCCCCTGTTTCCAGGATGGCTACTGCTTGTGCGGGCTTTGCGGCTGAGCGGGCCAGGGTTATTCGGGTTGGGTCGCCGACGCTGTATACAAGGTTACCTGTGCTGTCGACGATG